CGGATGAGTGTTGCTTCGTGATCCTTTCAGTAAATTGAATATAATCTCTTTTTTCTAGTGTGTGTGGATACTGCTGCTGCGTGTGTAGTTTATTTAGATTTCTGTTGAGTATCGATGTGTGGATACCAGTTTGATGAGATGAGTTTATGACAAAAATTCTTACATGGACACACATACCATCATGCACAACGAGACTGACACTAGTATCAGCATCCACACACATACTTTTTCAAATGTTGGATAATAGCTTTGTTGAGAGCTGCAAAGAAGTATAAAATAGCGAACGAGCCGAATATTTAGTCGAGGATAAAGCGAGTCACAGCGACGAATGTTACTTGTTTTGAATCATGTTCAATATATATATATACCATAGATACAAATGATTGTGCTTTTTGCGTTTCATGCGCAGCTGTTAACGTTAAATAAAGGCAGCTCTGTTTCTTATGAAAAAATACACTATTTCATTCTTAGTCGGCGCGTAAATACAAAAATATGTAACTTGTATATGAATACAGAAAAAACCTCTTAAAGAATAATGTATAAATACTAGTTTCTTCAATAAAAGATCCACAGATTATAAGTGCTTTAATTTAATCTATCATGCATCTCAATTAAATCAAAATAATTATTAATTTCACTTAAATAAAACTATTCAATTAATTTAAACGTTAATCAAGTTAAAATGAATGATAGTTATAACCTCAGTTCATAGATACAACTGTGATTGAAAGCTATATCTGCAGTTGATAGTTATCATGTTGGGTTTTACTTATAAACAAAGTTATAGCCATCTTAATCCTTTTAGTCCCAAACTATTTCTGCTAAATTTAATTCAAGTAAGCTGTTAAATTAGCTTATTTTAGACAAGGACATTCATCATAAATAACTTGCGCGCGCTCGTATGTGGTTCTTCGTATAAGTTTTACTGAGTTTGGTCATATTTCAACAGAAATTTTAATTGGTAAACTTTATTAATTTCAAAACATACACAAGATTTTCATGGAACAACAGAAAACAATTTTTATATCCTTTTAACATAAAGAGAAATATCACAAAAACTAAATATTATGCAACTAAATACTGAACAAGCTGTCTCATTGTAATATCAGTGTCTTCCAATTAGACACAACGACATACATATGTCCTAACAATTGAGTTAATGAAGATTTGTTCACCAACGTTTCTAAAATTTGTTTCTACTTTCTGAACAATGAATGGAAAGTTCTGCTTTCTCTTTTTCTATCAGCGTTGGTCCTCAATCAAAGCTTTCACAATAAACGACTGTATATCTCCCCTACAGCTAGTTCGGGAGAATTCTAGAGCATTCATTATTGTTTCATTCCAAGGAATTAAGTACTAGTTTTTATAAATTACGTAATGAAAAATAACTATAAACCATGTGTAGCTTTTTTATGTTCTGGGACTGAAAAGAGTTGAATTTTTTTTGCATTTTTCTCAACTATGAACTTGGTCAACAAAGGTTTAACTCCTATACTGTTTCACACTCATCATAGCCAAATGCCACCTCACCTAGGCTCTGTCGGGATCTACTGGCAACAACTATCATACATCAGAATCAATACTGAATTTTGTACTCGACGATTTCCTCAATCGACAACATAGAGATTCCCGTGTCGATCGAATGACAAACCGACGGGTCCATTGAGTTGGTCCGATTGTTCTCCTTTACCGTTTCCACCAACAATGACACTTCCTTGTGTGGCTCCTTTAGGCCAACGCATGATTCGATTATTCCCTTCATCAGCCACATAGACAGTGCTCAATTGATCGACAACGACTCCTCGAGGATATGACAATTGTGTAAGATCATTTCCATATCCTTGACCACCAGCCACGACAATGCCTTGTTTTGCACCTTCCATCCATTTCATCACACGATGATTTCCCTCATCAGATACGTACACTGAATGATCTCGATCGACGAATACGTATCGTGGGTAAGAGAGTTGATCGAGACGATTTCCACTTCCATTGCCACCTGCAACCACTGTTCCTTGAGATTCTCCTCTTCGATATCGTCTCACTTCATTTTCTACATAATCAGTGACATAGAGAGATCCATTCTCGTCCATTGTCAAACCCAAACAAGAGATGTTGGAGATGATTGTTTCTCCACTTGTCCCATTTCGACGAGGCCATCGAACCACTCTTCCATTCGAACGATCGCATATGATGAGACTATCTCTCTCTTTGTCGATAATCACATCTTGTGGGTAATTCAATTGATGATCTCCACTTCCTTGTCCATTTCCACCGGCAACCACTTGGCCACTTGTTGCACCTCGTTTCCATTCCACAATACGGTGATTTGATTGATCAGCAACATAGATTGTTTGATCATCATCAATATACAAACCCCATGGATATGAGAGTTGATTGATTCCATTGCCTTGTCGATTTCCTTCAGCCATAGTGATACCACACAGTTGCCGTTTGGCGTTCTTACGCATGTCAGTCGATAGTGAGGATGCTGAAACTAGCGAATTGTTTGGAGTCTGAATGAGCATTCGCCAATAGAGCATCGAAAGTGGACGATGAATGTAATGAGTGGTTGGATGCTTGAAATAGACAATTTCTGCTTGGTCTGTTCGATTTTTGAGCTCCTTTGTAAGCATCGAAGATTGAGCTTTTTAAAAGTTTTCTCGATTGGACATTGATTTTTGAGTTGTTGCAAATGTTATTGTGACTCAAAATCTATGAGAAGTTTGACTACGCAAAGTGGACAAACCTATGCAAAAGATACTTTTGATTACTTGATATAGTTTTAATTGCTCAAAACTCATTGGAGTTTCCCATGCTTGCTGAGAGGAAACCTATCGAAAAATTACGTTTGACTTCTCAATAGAAATTTGAATACTAGAAACGTCTTCAAACTTTTGATTTTGAGACATTTTTTTGCAGTGCTATTGATTGATATTACCAAAGCTCTGTATATTCGGCATATGTTTCTGGTTATTTAAAACAATATTTATCAATTACTGCTATAATCAGTGACATAATCAGCTTACATTTCTAGTCCATGTTATCCTAATACAGATGTTTCTATTCATTTTTGAACTATTGAAAGATATTATGGAGCAGTATTTTGTCACTTGATCACGCAGATGAGTTGGCTTTTACACTGAAGAAACAAGAGCAGACTTTTATATTTCTGACGTATAAAGAAATAGCGAAAAGTACTAAGAGGTGCCAAGAAATATCGACCAGTATATTAACGTTTACAAAAACTGGAAACAGTTTTTGTCAGCTGAATATATTTATGAAACAGAAAAAGAAAGAAAATCATATGAAAATAAGTCAAATTGATGTTAACTTTTTTTACTTCAACTTGAAAAATTCTACAAAATTCCGACTGCGTTGTGAAAATCTTTGTTTTCAACATGGACTGAGGTTCTAACTCTTTTAAATTTTGAAATTCCTTCTCATAAATCGGAGGCATCTTAAGTATACGGCGATATTATATGAATTAAAATCATAGCACTATCACAAATTAAATTTTATCTGAGACTATTGTAAGCAAATGGATACATAATCGATGTTGCAAAAGTTTCTGGAAAAGTATCGCTTCATCTTTCATTGACTAAAACATGTTTCGAAAAAATCAAAAGTACACTTGCAAAATCTAGAGTAAAAGCACTTTCTAACTGTATATTCAAAAACTTTTTATCATGTTTTATCTTTGAGTAATGAGCACATTTTAAAATAACACTAAAGCACGGACTCTAAAAAGGAACTCGCAACCTTTTGTAGTAGAAATAACTGGTATTTTAGTATGTTTCAAATTTCTCTTATGCAATTCATCGTAAACTGTTGCTTATTTGTTTATTAGATTTTGTCGTCTAATACTCTGCTAGAAATAAATACCACATTGCTTAAAGATCAATTCATTCAAAAGCAACGATTGCGATTTGTTTTCCATCGACGACATTTAAGTGTTATTAAACGATGTCCTCGTTACTCAAAGATAAAACTTTTTTGAACAAACAGTTAGAAAAAACCTTCAATGAAGGTCATGTTTTAGTCGATGAAAAACGAAGTGACATTTTCCAGAAACTTTCGTCACACCCATTATGTTTATTTTTACACAGGAAAAGATTAATGCTTTTTCAATTTCAAATCCTTTTCTTGATCATATATATATTCGTAATATGTAGTAAGAACTTCTCACGAGGAGAAATTTTCAATTTAATTACAGAACAAGACGACACCCTTAAACCAGTACCTAAAAACAACATTAAATCCATGAGAAACTCAGGACAATATTCAGCAAGCGTTCATCAACAGCATCTTCTTGAGAAAAAATGAGTCCCATTGAAACAACTTCGTCGAACCAAGAAAGCATCAACAAAAATACGAAGTTTTGATCTAATATCAATAATGACAGAAAATCGAAGTGAAAAATTGCTTTGAAAAAACTCATCAAGACAATGAAAATACATTTATTAAAGCCAATGCAGATATTGAATGATACTAAACTTTTATTCGCAATAATCACTTTTAAAAATTAATCTAATGTAGATGTCTTTTATCGTTTTGCTACTGTTCTACTTCATGATATTTTTCTTTTGAATTGAGAGTGTTTGTTAACTAAAAGTGACGAAGTGTCAAATATAAATTCTTCATGAGAAAAGAATATAACAGACTGTTTGAAGTTCTCATAATCTGCTTCGACTCTCACTTCACCTCTAAAATTTATTTGATTGACTCCAATTCCTACTCCGGTGAACTATGATTCTGCGTTTAGTATCTGCATTCAATTCAGCTATCGAGTAAGCCTCTGAATGTGTATATAACCTATGAGAGTGAACGCCAGTGTTGATCTTCGCTTCAGTAACATCAAACCACACACATGCTAACATTCACCTTCACAATCCACATAGGCAATCAGACCAGATACACCGACCCACACTCTCGTTTATACGATGGAACATTGCCAGAGATAAAAAGCAAACATCAACAAGATCGACTCTCAACATCTGTTAAGAATTTGAATCGATATTGAATTTTTGTACTCGATGATTTCCCCAATCGACAACATAGAGATTACCGTGTCGATCGAATGACAAACCGATGGGCACATTGAGTTGGTTCGATTGTTCTCCACTACCGTTTTCACCAACAATGACACTTCCTTGTGTGGCTCCTTTAGGCCAACGCATGATTCGATTATTCCATCCATCAGCCACATAGACAGTGCCCAATTGATCGACAACGACTCCTCGAGGATATGACAATTGTGTAAGATCATTTCCTTGTCCTTGACCACCAGCCACGACAATGCCTTGTTTTGCACCTTCCATCCATTTCATCACACGATGATTGTTCCAATCAGATACGTACACTGAATGATCTCGATCGACGAATACGTATGTTGGGAAAGAGAGTTGATCGAGACGATTTCCATATCCATTGCCACCTGCAACCACTGTTCCTTGAGATTCTCCTCTTCGATATCGTCTCACTTCAGCTTTTCCATCATCAGTGACATAGAGAGATCCATTCTCGTCCATTGTCAAACCCCAACAAGAGATGTTCGAGATGATTGTTTCTCCACTTGTCCCATTTCGACGAGGCCATCGAACCACTCTTCCATTCGAAGTATCGCATATGATGAGACTATCTCTCTCTTTGTCGATAATCACATCTGCTGGGTAATTCAATTGATGATCTCCACTTCCTTGTCCATTTCCACCGGCAACCACTTGGCCACTTGTTGCACCTCGTTTCCATTCCACAATACGATGATTTGATTGATCAGCAACATAGGTTGTTTGATCATCATCAACATACAAACCCAATGGGTTTGAGAGTTGATTGATTCCATTGCCTTGTCGATTTCCTCCAGCCACAGTGATACCATTTTGTTGCCATCGAGCATTCGGATGAATGTTGGTGCTGGATGGAGAACGTAATGGATAATCTAAAATAGAGACAAGAAAAATTATTAAAATAAGAGAGAAATTTTCTTTTCACAGAAATCGAATTTTGTTACAAGACGAGAATTCTTTTTGAGTCAACTTCTCAACTTTGTTAACAACAATTATTTTTTTAACTCTTTTTTTGTTAAGTAAAAGTTACTCATTGTAACATTTTCAGTCAACCATCCATGCTTCCTTTATTTTGCTCTTCAACTGCATAGGATTGCTACACAAAATGTCAATGGGACGACATCATTTTGTTTTGTTCACCGGCATCAGTTACAATGAAATAGATAGTTAAACTTATGATCTATTTCTAACGATAATAACAACGAAAAATGTTTTTATGGAAAACTCAATATTTGCTATTTTGACAGTTCCCGATTGTATTGCCGATTGCTGTATAATAACTGTGTACAGTTTTCTGTCTCGATCCTTCATATATTTTACATATTGTCAAACTTAGTGTCTTTTTCAAACTTTTGAGTTGAAACGACAGTTTCTGAACACTTGTATCGTCAATCTAGGTTTTTGAGCATTCAACTATTGAAAAAGTTGTTTGATTAGTTGAACAGATTCAAGCTTTCATAAATCATCATCTGTATTTTGTTCGTCGAGCACTCTTAGTTTACTATGTTTCTTTAAAAATGATCATTTTACTGAGGTTGTAGCAAATCTTAAATTATTAATAACGTTTTCAAGATCTTTGATTGCTAGGTTTTACAAGTATACACAATCGGACATCATCGCGAGAAAATTAGATATCTTATTTCCCTAATATTAGCACATTCATGGATACAATCGTAGGTACTAATCGTTTTATCCTAATGGTGGAATCTTACCATTGCCCTCACTCTATCTCATACTCTTAGTCTCAATTGATGTCAAGTTAGTACATTTTTGATTTCTTAACTAGTTTTGAAACGATAGGTTTCAAGAAAAGAAATAATTAAACTTACATTGAAATTTCTAAGAACTTTTGTAACTGATAGAAATTCTGAAAATATCAAAACAAAATGAGGTTTACAGTAATTTTGACACGTAAATTTCAAACTTAGTAACAGTTTGGAATTTTCTACTTTATACTATAGTCGATATGAAATAGTACATATGTTAAAATTTTAAGTTTTCATTGTCTTTAGAACATTGAAGTGAAGAGCAATCAAGACATTATAATTCTTCAGTATATACCAGTTAAGTATCCGTCACTAATTTTTTACCTGTTCGATTAAAGAATGTTTCTTGGACATCATTTTTCAATAACATCTTATCTACCCATGTGGTTCAATATTTCATCATTAAGACTAGTGCATAATTATTAGATATTACAAGGATCTCTTGAAATCTCTTAAAGCAATCAATTGAAATATTCAGTTTCTATGACTAATCGTTGTGACTTGTAAGTAAACTTGCTTATCATGAAGATTTCTTCCAAAGCAATCACTATTTCGCTGAATATGAAAGAAAACAAGGTTTTAAAGTTAGCACAAACTTGCATTACAAATGTTCTTCATTCGAACAATCGAAAGTCTTTAAATAAAATACCAGTAGTCGTCTATACTCAATTGTTTGCATTCGAGATCTTCTTTCAATTATTTGAATTGACACAAGTCATAGACATATAGTAGGATAAACAATAGACAGGTATGATGAAAATTTTGCAAAATTTCTCGATGTTACATACATTATAGAAATAATGTTGGCAAGAAATCATTTTGAAATCTAGTATTTTTTCTGCATGGAGTATCTCATTATATCAGAAGCTAAAATTTCAACTATTCTTTCAAAAAATCTCGTAATGTCCTTATCAATAAGAAGAGCATCATACAACTTCTATAATGTCTTTGTAATACATGTTAGCTGATAAGGATGTAGATATGAAGTAGTGAATTGATGTAGTTTTGAGTATCAACATTTATTGACATGCTCATTGAGAAACGAGTGTGGCATTCTTTCATCTGAATTTTGTTGATAGTTATTTGGTTAAAGAAGTTGGTTCTTTTGATAGATAATTTGCTATTTCAAATGTTGTTTACATTTCTCAATAAACTTCGTTTTGTCTCTGTTATTGCTCTTTTTTGTCTATTATAAACCTAATCATATAGAACTACTAGCTTTAATCTCAGTATTATCTTCGGTAGCAATCAAGAAAATATGAAATTTATTGCTTCTTCTTATAGTGTTTGTACATTATCTTTCAACACTGAATGCAAGAATTTCGAAAGTCATATTACGACTGTCCAAGAATAGCTGCGATAAAACTATATCGCCAAGATCAATACACTTTTGTGTATTTTAAACTACCCAGCCAAAAGTTGTAATGGAGAAATGGCATTAAAATGATCGAAAATTTACATTATTATAATAGTGAAGGGGTGTGGGTGTGTGGGCCCACACCCCACACCCACAATCTCACACCCACACCCCCCCCCCCCCACCCCCACGCACACCCCACACCCACCAATGACAGATCGTGACAGACAGGCTTTGGACCCATCCCAGACCGTGATAGACAGGCTTTGGACCCATCACAGAGCGTGACAGACAGGCTTTGAACCCATTACAGACCGTGACAGACAGGGCTCTGGGCCCATCGCAGACCGTGACAGGCAGGGTCTGGACCCATCACAGACCGTGACAGAGAAACTACACTTCTAAAGCATCAGATAAACGGTTAGCTACAAATGTATTGCAAAGAAATGGAAGAAAACGATTTCCATTTAATTAGGAGCAACAGATCCATCGCGTTTCACATTTTTAATCCCGCAAGGGATTGCACTAACAGCTTTCATTTTTAGGTCAAGAATTTTGTTGCAATCAATAATACAGATGGTAGTGGTGGTAATTATCAATTCTTTATAGAACAATACAATATAAAAAATGTGTTAGTATGAGAGAAACATAAAGATGGAGCTTCTTCTAGGTCCTTCACAATGTTAAAACAAAATTTCATGTTTTTGGTGACAACGAATAGCTAGTGATGATATTGTATCTAGTCGGCAATCAAATGGTAATTGCACTTCAACAATTGAAAATGATACAGCACCTAAAACTATT